TTTGTTTTTATTGTAAAATATTCTTATATTGTAAAATATGTAAATATAAATTTATCTGATTTTATTTATAAATAATATAAAAATAATAAAAATATAAATATTAAATAAAAAACTTTAAAAATTTATCTTATAAATATAAATTTTGTGATTAGAATTTTGTAAATTTTCTAAATCTTATAAACATGTTCTATTTATATTGCTATTTCCTTTAATTTTTTTTTGTTAATTTTATTATTTTAAAACCTTTTTTATTATATTTAATTTTAGTTTTATTTATTTGCTAGTTCTTTTTATATTAATTTGAGCTGAAATTAGTTTATGTTTTTTCATTATTTTTTACACAAAGTTTATGTAATTGATAATAACTTATATTTAAAGTTTTATATAAGTAAATGTTACTATTGTTACATTTTTAAAGTATTCATCTATATATATACTAAATAAAAATCATTGATCTAAGTTATATCCAGATATCTGTAAATATCTGTTAAAATATTTGAATAATATTTGAATATTGTTAGATTATTCAGATATTAGGATTTTATAATTTGTTTAATCCAAATAACAGATATCCTTTAGATATTTATTTTGAATAGATAACAGATCTTTACTCTAGTACTAAGAAATTTTTAACTAAAAAAGAGTTTAATACCATTTTAATATAATAATATCAAAAAAAAAAATGCAAATTCTATTTGTTAAAAATTTTTGAAGCCTAATTTTTTAGCAATTAACATATAAATAATTTTGATTTTTATTAACTGAATTTTATTATTACTTTAATGTATTTATAAATAAAATCAGATAAATTTATATTTACATATTTTACAATATAAGAATATTTTACAATAAAAACAAATAAGTATAATATAAATGGTTTATTGATAATAAATAATACTTATTTTACTTTTCTTAGACCACTGTCTGATTATTTTTATCACTATTTCTTTAATTTATCTTTTTTCCTATTTATTAAATTTTATTATTCATTTAAAATGCATTATTTTTATCATAAAATAAACACACATTTCTTAAAAGACTTTGTAATAGAAAGGGCAAAAACTTTCGGAAAAAATCAAATGGTTTTTAGCATTTTTTATTTTTAAATTTTATATTGGAAGGAAAAAAAGAAGTATTAGAAAGTTTGAAAGCAATGTTACATAATTATCTCATCTGTCGCGAAAATCGGGTCAAACGCAGCTCGTACTAACCATATTCAAAAGTTCAATGAAAATAAAAATATATAAATATATTGCCATTAAGAAATGGATATTATTTAAACATCCAATGATTCAATTCTTTTAATATTAATATTAATTATAATTACTTAAAATGAATATATTACAAAACTTTACTTTGAAATGCAAAACTAGCTGAATTATATGGTATATACATCGTCTATGAAAACTACTTGGAAAAATTAGTTTTAGTAACTAAAAATACACATCTATAATTTCGAAAAAAAATAAAATAAAATAAAATAAAATGAAGGAAATAAGCTTAAGAACAAGTAAATCATTAACTGAATAAAAGAAAAAAAAATTGGGGATAAATATACCTGCTATATAATATTTATTCGACTTTTTTGTAGAACTAACACTTTATTTTAAATTTTTTTTTTTTTCGTGCATCATTATAAATCACAAAGAAATTTTTTGTTTTCCTGATCAAGTCCATTAATTAACTAATTGTTATCATTTAAACGAAAGTATAGTGTATTTAAACAGTTGTTGACGAAACCAAAACTACCTCCTCTTGTTCATCTTCAGTTTCCCATTCTTCACTCTGAGAATGATTAGGAACGGTTACACTGATAGGAGGAGATATTGGACTTGCAACTTGTGTAGCTGTTTTAGTAACAGAGTCTTGTGGTGATAACAGTAACGTTTGTATTCCCGCAACTTGTAACCAATTTGACTTACTATTAGAATTATCTTCATTATTATTATGATCATCTTTTGTAGAATTACCTCTATCTTGTGTATTCACCTCCATATCCTTGCGCCGAGACCTTCGTTTTTTAGAATTCGACTTTCTCTTACTTTTATTGCTATTATTATAAAATGGTGGTATTGCCTCCACATACGTAGTATGATCAGCTGATAATTGCGATAATGGTAATTGTGGTAAATAATTCTTCGGTATACTAGGTGTTGTTAAACTTGCAGAATGAGGTGGAGATTGTATGATTATGGAATTCGTTAATTGTGATTGATCGTTCCTTACGGGTTGTGTATATGGCGTGGACGTTTGTCGTATAATTGTTGAACTTTGATCATACGTTGGCATATTATTGTTCTGCATTGAAAGAACTTGTTGTTGATTATTAATCGGTTGAGGCTCTAGTTCATCGTCATCATCATCGTCTAATATTATTATTGTGTTGGGAGCCTTTTGCGAAGAAATTGATGATTTCTTAGAAGCCGAATCAACTTGCATATCATCATCGTCGGTTGATTCACCATCGCAATCATCTTGTCCCACGACTGTCCACCTGCCACTAGAATCGAGCTCGACAGTATTAACATTTCTAATTTGATAAAAAATATATTATTAATCAAAATGAAAGTTCTCTTGTAAGTTTTTTTTAGTAAATTAGATGTAATATTACTTACTCTGGTATTTGTTCTAGTAATCTTTTGAAATATTCATCGATTCGCAAGGTTTCCGACGTTACCCGGTCACTGTTGAACAAACATTTTAATAATCAAAATAGTCATAAAACATACGATCATCTATTAAACGCTTACTTGCACTCGGGACATCTCCATTTGGAATTTTTCTTGTTTACACTGACATAGGTTTCCAAGTCAAAACACTAATAAATAAAAAGAATTATCAATATTTACCGTGTAATTAATGACGAATCGTAATTACTACTTACACCAATGTGGAGACAATGTTGTCCTTTCGCGGGTTCAGCTATTCTCAGTAAACTTATTGGACATCGCAAGCTAACTTTCATTTTGTTGACTGTGACATCACAATCATCCTCGTCAGTTATCATAGTATGACTCGGAGATGAAATTGAACTGGTCGGTGACTGTGCATTAATAATAGAAGCGCTTGGACCAGAAATTAGTCGTTTAACTAAGTATCAAGGAATGTTAATTTCTATGATGCTAAAATAATAAAATTATGATTTTTAGATCACTAACCAATTTCCATTCCGTGCTCTACAGTAAGTGTTTGGCTTCGTGCATTGCGAAGCACTATTTCTTCCGTTTCCTTTAATAAAATTTCTATTGACAATATATGTTCCTATAATAAAGATGAAGGGTAAATATATAATGTTATGCTAAAATAAATAAAACTTGGTTATAAAAAAAACTTACACATAATTGTTGGCGACAAGTTTCACACATACACTGTGTAATTTTAATCCTGTTCACTCCTGCTTCTAAATATTGGGCAATATCGACAGCTTTGTCAACTCCAACAAATGAATATTGGTTATTTTTAATAGGAATTCGTTGTTTCTTTTTTTTTTTTAAAAAAAAATAAAATAAAAAAAAATAATAATAATAACAAATTAATACAACAGAGTTGTAATATCTAGTCGATAATATATCTATAAAAAAACATACTCTGTGCAATTTAACTTCCGAATCGTTGATTTGTACTTTAAACATAGCTTCCTCCGGGGGCCAATCACACTTGTTATCGTCATCTATATTATTTGGCTTACGCGATATTAATCGGTATGTAAGCGGTAATTTGTTTGGATGTATAAGGGTTGCCGGAGAAGCCGTTTCTAGTCTTTAAAAAATTTTAAAAGCATAGACGAAAATCTTATCTAGTAAATAAAAAAATATATATATATAAACTAAAAAGCATACGTAAATTACTAACTTCCATATCCTTTCGAATTTTTCGTGGGGAATATAAAAGGAATTTACAAATTCCTGCTGTTCCTGATGTTGATTAGCTATCAGAGATTCATAAGGGAGCATAACATGGCCCCAAGCTCGATCTATTATTCTGGAAACCCAATTTCCATTTGCCTTTTCAACATCTGAAATCTGTTTGTTTTCAATCCTTGGCTGGTTTATTTGTTGCTGATGATGTTGTTGCTGCTGCGGCGGTGGCGGCTGCTGCCTCGCTACTGGTCGGACCAACGATGGATTTATATTATTTGCTGGGAATTGTTGAGAAGTAACGCTAGAAGATTTGTTGAGCTCATTGGCCCATTTTTTAATATGATCTAAAAAATATATATATGTATATAAACCATTTTATCACTTATAAAACTACACACAATAAAATTAATAAAGTATATAAGAAAGATCCAAACTTTGATGCTGTGTATTTGAGAAACGATGGATATTATTTAAAGCAGCCTGGAATACGGATAATCCTATTTCCATAGGTGTAGACCCGAAATTGCTTTTTATGTTCTAATAATGTTAAATCGAAAAATAAGTAAATGTGTCAAATGTGTTCGTTTATATTATAATGTGCAAACCTGTAAGCACTGATAAAAACTCTCTTGGCATTGTGGAGAAGAATATGCAATGTCAGTTTGCAAATACTTAAGAAGTTCAGCACAAAGAGTCTGATAATCTTTTTTTGTTATTTCAGACTTGATAGTATCTAATCTTTGTAAGATATAATCTTGTGATAACATAGGCGTAGGCGTAGGCAAAGGAGTATGCGTAGGTGTAGGTGTAGGTGTAGATAAGTCGCCAAGATATAATTCCGCTTGTTGCATAGATGGATAAAAAACATTGCCAATTTGTGAGGATCGATACAAATCCATATTCAAGTTAATTTGTTGCATTTGCCCTTGATTATTTCCATGCAGCAATTGTTGTGATAATTGTTGTTGTTGATGTTGCTGCTGTTGATTACTTAACTGAATCTGATTCATCTGACTTGTAAATCCAATTGGTGGTGATACCATTTGACTCTGAACTGGATTTATAGAATTAAAAAAAAAACAAGGTAAAATTTCACAACACATTGCGAATAAGTGAATAAATCATCTATCTCTTTTAATCTTTACCGTGTTGATTATTTTGGCTTGACATAATTTGGTCAGGATTTTGTAATACAACCTGTGTATTCTTATCAGGATGATTAAAAGGGAAATTGGATTAGATTGTCACAAATATTATATATTTATTAAAGCAGAAAGCTTATTAAAATACATACAATGTTATCAGGATATCCCATTACACGCGAAGAGCGAGAGTTAGCATTAGTGTTACGTGATGATGACATCGACATCGGTTGTCGCATTTGGAAGGATTGTGGATATGGCACATAGACAGGTTGAGATTGAGGTTGAGGTTGAACATAATATTGTGCTTGTGATTGCATGAATGGATCTGGTTGGTGAGGAGGCATTACAAATGCCGCACTGCTCTTTCGCCTTTTTGTTGGTTGACCACCTTGTTGTTCCGAGGTAAAATCGACCGGTATCGTCCTAGTAGGATTGGATCTCGAAGGTAAGATATTATTATTGATATTGACCTGATTCGATGATCCATGCTCATGTACTATATGTTCAGGAGGTGTAACGAAGCTATTACTGTTCATATTCATATTGTTCATATTAAAATTGATTTTATGGATGTATGTACACGATGATTCTTTTTTTTTGTAATGAATAGTTAATCCGGATTGCAAAGTGAAAAAAGTTGGATGAACAAGAAAATCAAGAAAATCAAGAAAATCGAGAAAATCGAAGATAACGATTAAGGGGGAAATAAAAAGTGATGAAAGTTGATTAGCGATGATTTGCTTATTAATCAAAATCGATGACGTTTCATACTTCACTACGCATCAGTTGTGTGATGTAAAAGTAATCACGTTCACGTGATATAAATGATAATCGTAGCCGAAGCATCACGTTGATTATCAGATTATCACTGCACAAATGATCGACAACATCGGAATTTACATACTTATTTAATTCTAGATTATATATATTTACAAAAGCCTTTTTCCCTTAAGCGGCACACTAAAATTGTAAAAAGAAAAAAATATAAATTACTTTCCTTTCGATTAGAACTGTAGAAAAAATCTTTTGTTGATCGGGTTGATGAACCAACAACCAACGATTTTGTGGCGCAGAAACGACTGAATCTGGTTTAATTACCGGCTTTTTTTTACCAAAAAAAAAAAAACGCTTACATTTATCGTTCTTTTTTTGTGATACGCGGCTAAATTTTTATTCGTCTGAAAAAAAAAAAAGAAAAAGAAAATCCAATATAAAGCCGTTTTCTCGTCCTTTTTATACTTTAGACCCATTTATTGAAAAAAAAGTCATTACATACTATTGTTATTTTTTTTAAGAAAACGTTGAAAATAAAATGTGGACAATTACAAAAATGTCAAACAATTGTCTTACAAACCCCAACAAAATGCATAACAAATAACATCAAGCCAAGAATGAAAATGATTTTATCCCAAAATGGAGAACATCATATGAAATATGTCGCACGAAATCCATGTAATATACATTCGTATGTAACACTAATGTCGCACGATTCTCAGCCCGAGGTCACAAGGTCAGAAAACGCCCAAATTTAGTAATTTATTTTACCCCTATGCAAATCAGAAAATTTGCAGCCAACGCTAACCTGTTTGTGACACTTATGTAACCGTGACACATCATTCTGTGGAACGGTAGCACGCCTGTGCAACAATCTACCGAATTTAATCTTACCAAATTTGTTTAGAATCTGGATGTTTCATCAAACTTTAATAAAACGCGGGAACATTTGAATAAAATACCCAAAAAAATAAAAAAATAATTTGACTTGACAAGCATGCCTTCGAGATCTATGTAAAAAATCATTATAATCACCATGAGCGAATGTTCAACCATTTTATATGACAAAAGTCGATTTTGGATTTTTCTTTAATTGCTATTCTATTTACATTTGAGTTAACAACAATTTGTAGTAAAATTGAGATCTTGAAACAGAGATACGCCAAAAAGAATTTAATTTAAAACTTACATAATCCACATTTTTTATGATGAGACTTTGCTTAATACGCACTAGTATATATCTTTTTTTTTGCGCCTTCTGAGTCATATGGTTTAATAATAATAAATTTGATAAATACTCGTTTCGGTTATTTGAATTTTCAATATATAGAAAATGAGTTTTCTTTTCATTTAAAGAATATAAAAGTCATTTTTTTGTTGCTCCTGAAAATTCTTAATTTTAGGTTGTTGATCTATTACTTTATCAAAAGTTTTAATGTTAGACAGCTAATCTTTTTAATGATCGAGGTAATTTTTAATTTTTTTTTCGCACCGCCCGCAGTAATGACAAATTGGGAGATGATTCTCAATATATGTATTAAATTAAAAACTGTTAGATTATACAAATATGCAAAGTAACTCGTGATATGGCGCATTTTTAATTTTGTGATAAAATTGAAAAATCCAATTAGAAAATTGATGTACCAAAAAAATAGTTAAATGAAAATATGATACAAATCAAGTTTAAACCGGTTTTATTATGGCAATCCGACTGGAGAGTAATTAACACGAGATATTTATATTTGACTCGCAATTTAAGTTTATTTATTTATATATTTATAGATTGATAATTTTGTGCGACAAATAAAATTACCGGTTAATCTTGCCACCTGAATTTTAAATTTGTATCAAAATTTTTTAAATTTTTTGAAATTTTTTAATTTCAGATCTAATTAATATATTTTTATTTTTATTTTTTGTAAAATTTATTTTTAATTTTGATTTATAATTTGATTATTTAAATTTATTTTTATATATTATTATATTATACAATTTTGTTAAAATGATTAATTTTAACCAAGATTATTTAAAAAATAGTAAATATTCTTATAATTTACTATTATTTAATATTATAAAATAAAATAGCAAAAGATAATATAATTAAGATATTATATAAGTATTATTATTCAATCAATAGTTTATAAAATAAAATATTTTAATTAATCAAATATTAATAAGATTTAATTATAATACTTTTAATTTATAAATAATTTAATTTAAGTTAATATTTTATTATAAAAATCTTTTAATATATTAAATAATATTTCAGGTAAAATTGTTTTATTATTTATCTTTTTTTATTTCAGTTTAATTATTTTAAAACTATTTAAATTTTCAAACTAATAAAATTTGTATAATTTAATAAAATCTTTTAAAATTAATATAATCTAATAAAACTTCTATATATATATATATTTAAATAAAATAAAATAAAAATAAAATTGTTCATTTTATAGAGTTTATTATATTAAATCAATCTAAAAAAATATAACAGAATATAGAATTAATAAAAATTTGATATCATCACAAATCACAAAAATTTTTATTATACATAAAATTTATTATTAATCCTAATAATAAAGTAAATAATGTAGTTTTAATAAATCTAATATAACATAAATTTTATAAATTTCAAATAAATAACTTAACAGTTATTATAAAATAAATTATTATAATTTGTTTGTTTTTATTCTTCTCTTCTTTTTTTATTTTTCTTTAATAGATTTTTCTTACTTTATACTACAAGTCCTGGTAATTCTTCTTGTAATATTGTAAGAGAATCTATATAAATTTAATGGATTCATTTATTATAAACAATTTTTAAAATATTAGTTTAAATTATAATTATTAAATTATAGCTTGATAAATTAAGTTTTTAATTAATAAAAATAAATGTTTAAATTATTAAAATCATTATTTTAGAGATTTTTCACATACTTCAAATTAGAATATTTTAGGTTAAAATTATATTATATATAACTGCTATTTATATATACTGTAAATAATTTCTCATTTTTATAAATGCGTATCTAGTAATATTTTTTATTATATTTTTATTATTATTGTATAATTTATTATAACATTCTCTAACTTTTATTTGATTTCTTTTATTTAATAATACTAATTACATTTTTTTACTATTCGTTATTTATAATCAAATTCTTTAAAATTATATTTTATATTATAGCAATGTGTATCCTTTTTATGTTCTTTATTTTTTTAAGAATTATGATAAAAATAAAAATAAAATATTTAAATAACTAAAAAAAATAAATTAAATTTTAATAATTAACAATAATTATCATATTATAATATTTGTTGAAAAATTAATTAATCTATTTTTTCTCGTTTATTTCACTTATATAGCTGAATAATTTTGTTTTAAACTAAAATTCAAAACTATTTTTAAATTTATTAAAATATTCTTGAAAAATATTCTACTGTAATAGGATTATCATAACTTAATTGATCTACATAATGCATTGTAAATAATTACATAAGTGATACAGTTAATATGATCAACTTAATAGATGTATTTAATTTATATAATACAAAAAAAATGCAAATCAAATTATCAAACATGTCAAACATATTTGGCATATCTAATATGTTTGACATATATAATATATTTTGATATTGTTACAGTCAGTTCTTTAAGATGCTTATGAGTAATAAGCGAAGCAATATTTATGGGTAATAAGCAGAAGATTTAATTTGATATTTAGATTTAGAAGAGTGTCAGTAAATTAACAGTTTATTTAATAACTATAACAATGGAATACTGCCTCAGTCGGCACTCTGTATTATACAATTATGTTAGAGGGATTAAACTAAACTATTATATATGTCAGACACACTGCTAAGCTAAAGGAAATTGTTCTCTATTTATATAAAATGAAAAATATAAAGTTATCGAAAATATAAAAGAAATAAATATAATAAATAAAATATATAAAATAAATATAATATAATAAATAAATAACATAAATAAAATAAAATAAATAAAAGAAATATAATGTATAAAAGAAATAAATGCCATAGACAATATAGATGACATAGAAGATATATATGATTTCTTAGGGATTGATGTCATCCTTTATATCTATATCTTCTTTCATGTAACATCACTTCCCTTCAAGATTTTGCGTTCCTGCATAAATCTCAGTGGCTTTATCAATTAGATCATTGTATTCCACTGTTGATAGTCCAACTATCAACTTAAGAGTGGTTCTTTACTTTATGCTATCTGTGCTAGTCCAAGGAATTTAAAGAGATAATATATTCGTACTGATGCATGATAGTAATGTTTAGATAGCCTTTTGATATACACTGAATGAACTATAGGGTCTTCTATTTCTTCTATAAGCTTTCCAAGATAAAAAGCATTTGTCAGTATCAGAATACGATTGTTCATTCGTTTAACCCTTTGTAGTATTTGATTTGCAAGTGAGAATTTTATTTTTACGGGCATAGTTTTGCTGTAAGGTGAAGGATACATTTCAATTTCTTGAAGTATAGTAAGTTGCAAGTCAGCATAAATTAATTGAAAATTCTGAGAAAATGTTTCAGTATAAGTAGGAGGCGCTTCCAACTCTTCTATCTTATCAATCTACCAATTTTAAGTTAGGCTCCCTTCTATTTAAATATTTTTCAACTATAATGTTCTAGCATTTTTCATAAATTTCTTCAATTTTCAATCAGCATAATGGACTAAAGTAGATCACGTTGGTGGTACTGTTTTAATCTATCACTATTTATAGGTGTTTTT